CCTTATAGACCCCGACCCGGAGGACAAGGAACACCTACTCTACCTCAGAGCTCCTTGTATTCCTTCATGCCTGGGGTTGGAGAATGATCAGTCCAAATAAAAACTGAACACGTGCTCTATTGTTTCCTGTAAGAAACTCTAACTAGGGACTTGAACCTAAGCTCGGTATACAAAGGAGAAGAGACAGATAGCATTCCTTAAGCCACGAGCTGCTGCAGAGCCAGCACCGGAACATGACAGTGTGCGTACAATAACAAAGACGGAAAAAGATAAATGTAGGTAGATAACAGTCCACGAAAACGCTCTTATAGTTTTGCATAGTGCTACGACCACTAGAACCACCTTATGCTTCACAAACATTACATTTTGACTTCATGGATGGATCGAGGCATCACTTCTTTCCTCAATATGTTACAAAAGCTACTCTTCAAACACAATCATTAAGTATAAAATAAGGGATTAGCAAAAAAACTTACTTTGGGTGGTGGTAAGCAAGGTGGCTTCAACACCGGGGTTGTAATACCATTTGAATCTAGGTATTTTTTTTCGTGTTCTTCGGCTGATTCAACGGTACCATCTGGGTTTACAATGACCCGTCGATACAATGTGCTCGCGATTTGTGGTGGACATTTTCCAAGAGGTATATCTAAGTACAAGAGACCTTCAGGATTGAGCGGGGTTAAGTCTGCCCGATTTCCGCTCTTCGAATCTGAATGAACGTAAACATATGGAGATACAGAAATCAACGACTCCACATTATACATTACATATGTTTTCACACACGCCTGAATCCAGACTGCGTGCCAAACAAATCATGGTACAATAATCCTCCTAAAAAGAAAAGCGTTCCACGAGTCCATACTGGCGGATAGCGTAGCAGTATTCCGCTCCCATGTAGAACCTTTCCTTGCGATATATATATATATATATAATAACAGAATAACAATAACAGAATAGTAATAACAGAAACAAATATCACAGTTGTGTAAAATTTTATAGTTGACACACTATCCACACTATCAACAATGCCCCTTCGTGCTGTCGTTTTCATTGCCCGTTCGGATGGAGGAATTGAGTGAAGATCGGAATTTTGAAGGCAGCGTCAAAGTGAAAATAGATAATTCACGTAAACTAGTGTTGTAAAGAGACTAGGAAGATGCGGGAGCGTCACCGTTCTCTATTTCTAACGATGGGTTACACTGAGCCCAAGGCTGTCCTCCTGGAATCCTAACGCGACCTACATGACTGTTTCCTGGTCATGGTTTCTATACCATCCTGCTAGGTCAATCCTATTTGTTCCATCCACTACCCGAATCGGCAAACATCGCATGCGTGACAATCTATTTGGTGACATGCGTTACACATTCTCCAACCAACATAATCTATGGAGGTCGACCACTTTCCCCAGTGGGTGACCAGCATCACTTGTTCGGTTGCCTTAGCAGACAGATGCAATGCAGCGTAGACAGCGGTGTTCAAACGCCGACATTATCTTTGTCTTTCTTCGTCATGACCAAGTTCCTGAGCCGTATAGCAGCACCGATCGGACTGCTGCAGTGTACACTCGACTATTCCCAGACAAGCAGATGTCGGGTGGCGTCAAGCAAGCATTCTGCATGCAAGACGACAATCCAATTGAGATTCTCTCGCCAATGAACGTACCCGTCTCAGTATCGAAATCTCTTTATTGCCTCTGATGTTTGTACTTGGGGATGGAACCAAGTCAATGTGTTTTACTCCTTCAGAAACGAAACACCACATTTTGGCAACAAATGTCCTTTTTGTATCAGAGATTTGAATGTCTACCATTATTGCATCCGCAACTTACTGATTGACTGAGCACTAACATGCAGGAATCCCTGGAACTTTTTTCAACTTGTAAAGTAGTCATCTGTGCATAAAACAACGTAAACCTGAGTTAAATAGCCAATAGCACTGTACAGCTATCTCGATTCCAGGCTAAACCAAGTAAAGAGTAACCGAGAGAAAGTTTCTATGCGAAGACAACCGGTTCGGAGAAGGCGTATGAGTGTCTGAACTAAACACCGTGGAGGAAGTCTGTCCGAATGCGAGGGATAAATTAACTCCTGGATTACATCTACATCAAATGTATGAGATGAGCTTCCAGAGAGTCGCTGACGATTAAGCCTCGACATCCGCAAATGGCTGTGCGAAGGCTGAAGGTGCCGTGTGAAGATGTCATCATCATCATTGTACAGCGTAATACAGTAAAGCGAACTCCAATGATCGCCGCCTACCTCATATTGCATACAAGGTAAGTGAGAATATGTAAGGAGGATAGGAATTGGACTTACTTTTAGGGACGGGAAAAGAAAGCGAACCTCTATGGTCAACACACAGAATACACAGTCCAACTATGCATACTTACTATTTCAAGCATTCTGGTCTGATAAGAAGTGACAGCATGATCGCCATTGCTGTCTGTTCGCAGCCATGACCTTCAGCATCTCCAACCATGCGGTTGCGGAGTCTTTTGGACCCCAACCCGGAATATAGGAGACACCTCCTCTACCTAAGCGCTATGTGCATTTCCTCACGCCTCTTTTCCACGTCATCTGCTGGCCTCCATGTGGCTTTCTCCAGCCTGCAACAACCACTGCGAAGATGTCCTTGTGTTAAACTCTCATGAAACAGTCTTGTACCATTCAAGAAGTAAACCACTGCAGTAAGTGATATGTAAGTTACCTCAGTTTCGTAGTAGTTTCTTGGTCACTTACTCCATGTTACATATATAAACCGAAAGTTTAATCCCGCTGGTTCAGGGCAAAGTATTTTCAAAAATCACTAATCGCAGGGAACTCAGGATTTCTCAATCAGACCGGAACCAAATAAATCAGGCTAAGCGAATAACTTTATAAGAGAACGTTGTCTATAAACGAAGAGTACTTACCTAAAAGTGAAAAAAGCAACTCACCTCGTTTAGAATCCGAATTCTTCGATCCCTGGATAAGACGCACGTTGGCACATTTTTCAAGGTATTTCTCATTCTCTGCATTCAGCTCCTGGAAGGTTTTGTCATAATTCAAGAAATTTTTAGTGAATATACGATTGATGTAAGCTCTTTTGAAACGTGGAAACAGGCGATGCAATTGATCCAGCTGCTGTACACAGTCTCGTCCCTCATACGTGCGAATTTTGCTTTCCATCCTATAAATTAAATGGGAAGACAATAGTTTCTCGGAAAACGAGCACAAAGGTTGTTCGAGAAACAATAAAACGAGGAAAACCAATAGAAGCAATAATAGTGTAATACAAACTACGAATTTTTGCTACATTTTTCAGTGGAAATAAGCGCGATATGTGTAAACAATGCCTTACATATCGTCCAAAGGGACCGTATTAAGACGACCACGACCACGGCCGCCTTTTGCGCGTGCCATCGGTCTGAGAGGGGATACCAGAGTGAAACGGTTTGGAACCGTTGACGAGGAAGATGAGCCTCCATCAGTACTTGTTACGGTAGAGTTCGGTGTAGCTTGCACAGACGTAGACGGCTGTGGGCACGCAACTGGCAGCGTCGTTAGGTTGTCAATTGATGTGTCCAAAGACGTTGACAGTTCATCAGAACCATAAACTAAAAAAATATTATTATCAAGCAATTGTTGAAATTTACCATTCAAGTTGACGATGTAGTGCGGCGTATCCCCGTCATCTAAAGGAAAACAAGTTGGAGGATCAACAATAAACTAAACTTCACAAAACCCCAGGACGCATGACAGTATAAAGGATATCAAGTGAGAGAAAATCGTAGGTAGTAACTCAACAAACAGCAAAAGCCGAGAAGGGAGAATTGAGTAAATTGGTAAATAAGAATGGGTGTGTATATCATTCTACTTAACCGCCGCCAAGTAGGGAGTTTGGTGTCAGAACGGTCAAAGAATCGCAATAAACTGACTGAAATCATATAACTAATGTGAAGGAATTGTGATCTGGAAACAGGATTTATCTGCTTAACCAATGGTACTGAACATTTACTTTAATTTATTCTATGAATCTAGTGAATGCTGGTAAAATAGCTATATGAGCTCCGCGAATCGACATCGAAAAACATCCTGGGGTGCATTTAAAGTGAAATGCGTTGAAGAGAAAGTTCACCCGATGACAATAAACCTGTTTACAGTCATGATCAGAAACAATCGTGCGAAAGTAATTAATAGCAAATAATTGCTGTGCCCACCTTTGGATCAAAGATGAAGAATGGATCTTGTAGAGGTAGACTTACACAAACATGGTGTGCACTACAGCAGTAACCTCAAAGACTACTAAAGATTGCAGTTCACCACAGAAATTGGGGTTCGTCAGAGTTGCCCTCTCTCCTTTTCTAATTAACTTTGCCATAGATTTAGATTATAGATTATAGATTTGATTATGGAAACAGCCCTATCCTAGTTCGAGGATAGGGGCATCGATTTACTCCCAGGAGGCAGGCTGTCTGATCTTGAGTATGCAGACGGCATTGTACTGCTACGTGAATATTCAGGTAAGTTGCAAGCTTTTCTGGATAGTTTGAGTGCTAGTGTTCGGTATGCGTTTTGCACCTTCAAGGTGTAAAATGCTACTACAAGACTGGCTGGGGACCGCGGGATGATGGTCACCGATGGTTAGCGACACTGAGTGATACGGCGGGTTGTCGCAAACAATGGCGCTCATGCATCCACTCATTATTCCCCTAACACCACTTTATATGAATTATCCATCGTCCGCTTGAATTTGCTTTGAACATTCCAACCTTGAGGCTGCTCTGTTATCGAAATGGGCGGCCAAAGGACAGCAATCAAAACCGGCGCACGAAAGTGAATGGTTAATGGTTGTAAAAACTGAACTGAACAAGGCTGGGTTGGTCAGCACCTAGACTCACTCTCATTGGGGAAGTAATAGAGGAGGTGGATAGGTTATCTGGGCAGCTACATTTCACCCGGTGGACGCATCACAGATGAAGTGTCAGCTCGCATACAGAAGGCTCGGTGGCATTCGCCAACTTGAAACATCCGTGGCGCCGT